GTTTATTGGACAGCCTCATTAAGGCTCCTCAGAATGGTGTTTAATAAATTGTAGATGATCAATTACTATTACCTATAATCATCATTATTATCTTTCAATGAAAAAAAGCTCAGGCCCCATAAAATTTTTTTCAACACTTCATATTCAGACTATTAAATAATTAGGAAGGCACTTATTCTTAATTTGTTTGGTAAGGTTTGCTTATCTTTAGAGACCCCAAGCATTCTTTGCATGACAATGTCATTGTTTCATTATTTTACCACAGAGATAATCTTGCTCTTATTTTTTTGTGTGTGCTCACTTTCTCTACAGTCCTTGAACTAAATTATCTATTTTCCCTGTAGTTTGGATATCGAGTGGTCCATGGCATGGGTTGCATTCCCCATAATGTGTCAGCATTCTCCCCATTTCTATCTTAAGCACCTTGTTTTCTATCCCTTCGTGTTTTGGTCGTGGGCAAGGTAGTTTGTTTCCGGAATGTCTTCAGTTCCAGGTCAGACAGGTGTCTTAGGGCCGTAGGATCCCTTCATTCTTGGTCAGACCTTGAGGTTCAGTCTTTTTTGTGAGTGTGGTTTTTCGTTTATTTTTCTCCTGCTTTGTCTGAGACCTTCTGCTGTGACCCCTGTCAGAGGAGTTGGTAGTGGTAGCCAGGCATCATTTAGTTCCTCTGGTCTCGGGGCCTTGTAGACTGTGCTTCATGTGGTCCATTAGTACTTTGGAGTAATTGCCCCCTTGGTCTTTGGTTTTCTTCACTCTTGTGTGCTCTAGATGGGAAGATGCTAATAGTTGTAGCTTAGCTGGCTCCCCACAGCTTTTAAGATCCCAGACATTTTTCATCAAAGTAGGATTCAGAAAACTATTGACATAGATGTTTCCCAAAGTCTATGGCCTTCACCTTTGAATCTGGAGACTAGCCCTTGAGGTTTGGGTTATGTCTAAGAAGTTTCCATGACTGTGCCTCTGTGGGCCTTATCATCTATCTTAATATATGTACATGCAGCTCCTACCATAATATATATAGAAACATCCACAACCAAAATATCTGCAAGGGTGTGCACTTTCTTATACCCTCTTACACATACCGATCTACCTATGGATTCACTTGTCAATTATTGTTTGTTAATACTGTTGTTGCATTATTGGCTATGTTGTATTAAAGACCACAACCCCCAAGTCAAACCCACTGCAATCTAGTTGATCCCAACCCATAGCAACCTTGTTAGGTTTCTGAGACTCTAAACCTTTATGGGAGTAGATGGGCCTCATCTTTCTCCCGCAGAGCAGCTAGTGGGTTTGAACTCTCAACCTTTTAGTTAGCAGTCTACTGCTTACCTGACAGCCCTACCAAGGCTCCTTAGTAATTACCATCCAAAAAAACCACACCCACTGCAGTCAAACCAGTTCTGACTCATAGAGACCCTATAGGACAGGGTACAACTGCCTGTGTAGGTTTCCAAAACTTTAACTCTCTACAGGAGTGCACAGCCTCATCTTTCTTCCAAGGAGCAGCCGGCGGTTTCCAATGGCTGACCTTGCAGTGAGTGGTCCAGCATGAACGCCACTATGCCACCAAGGTTCCCATAATGATCATAGTTGCCCTTTATTCCTACGGTCTTCCTTTGCCTTGGTCATGTTCTACTGATTTTCTCTACCTTGTGTATTGCCTGTCCCTTTATCAGTATTAGTATGTGTCTTCTATCTAGTTAGTAATTTTCCCTCCCTCTCTCCCATCTCTAATAGCCATCAAAGAAAATTTTGCCCCTGTGTGTAAACATTTTCTTGTTTTTTATTTTAATCACAGTGGTCTCATACAATATTTCTTCTTTTGTAATTGACTTATCTCACTCAGCATAATGTCTTCCAAATTTATCTATGTTTTAAAGTGGTTTTGGATTTATTATTATTCTTTATCATTATATCGTATTCAATTGTGTGTACCAAAATCCATTGATCTGTTGTTAGGCACTCAGGTTCTTTCTATCTTTTGTTGCTGTTGTGAATAAAGCTGCAGTGAATATGGATATGCACATGTCTGCTGTGTCGTGGTTCTTATTTCTTTAGGTTATAGACCTAAGAGTGGGATGGCTGAATCTGTGGTATTTCTATTTCTAGCTTTTAAAGGAAAAATGTTTTCCATAGTGGTTGTGTCCTTTTACATTTCTCCCAGCAGTACATGAAGTTCCAATCTCCCCACACCCTCACTACCATTTGTTATTTTCTTTAAAACAATTTATTATTGGTACCATCGATGTCAAGGTGAGGTGATCATCTCAGTGTAGTTTTGATTTGCATCCTCTGGGGGCTATTGAAAGGAGCCCTGCTGGCAGAGGGACTTGGGCATTGAGCTGCCACCACAAGGCCAGCGATTTGAACCCATCAGCTGCTCTGTGGGAGAGAGATGACGCGCTATTTGCTCCTGTGAAAATGTGAAGATTTAAAACTCAAAGGGGTGGTTCTACTCTGCCATAGAGCATTGTTATGAGTCAGAATTGACTCGATAGCGGTAGTTTTGGAAATGGCTAATGGCTGGAAACATTTCTTCATGTGTTAGCTGCTTGAATGTCTGTTCATATCCTTTGCCTATTTTTAAATTTTTGTTTGTCTTTTTGTTGTTGAGGCATTGGGATTTTTCATACATTTTATAGATTAAACCCTTGTCATATATGTCATAGCCAAGTTTTTACCCCCATCTGTGCATTCTTTTTTGGAAAAGCCTTTTGATGAACATAGGTACTTAAATTGTAGAACATCCCATTTATCTAGTTCATCTCTGCTGTTCATTCATTTTCAGTTACGGGTAGTATTCCAGTGATGCCATGTATCAGGACTCCTTGCATTGTTCCTACTTTTTTCTTTATAGCTTTAAGTTTTATATTGAGTCCTTTGATCCGTTTTGAGTTAGTTTTTGTGTATAGTGTGAAGTATGGTTCCTGGTTAAATTTTCTACTAATAGGCATCTGGTTTTGCCATCACCGTTTGTAAAAGAAACTGTCTCTTCTCCATTTAATGAACTTTGGCCCTTTGTTGAGGATCACTGTTTGTTCCACTGGTTGATGTGTTGTGTCAACTACTGTGACTATATTGTAGGTTCTAATATCAGGCAGTGTGAGACCGCCTACATTTTTCTTCTCCTTCAAGAATGCTTTTTCTTTCCCATATCCTTTTCCCTTTTCATATAAAGTTGATGATTACACTTTCTATCTCATCAAGGAATGCTGTTGGGATTGGGACTGGGGTTGCATTATAACTATAGCTCATTTTGAGTAATATTGACATTTTCACAACATTGTCTCTCATCCTTGAAGATATATGTTTTTCCATGTATGTGTAAGTCTCTTGATTTTTTGCAAGATTGTTTTTGTAGTTTTTATTTGTATAGGCTACATGCTATATTTTAAATGGCCTTCGATTTTATTTAGTAAAAATATATATAAGTATTAAGTATCTCCTTGCCCTTCAGCAACTTCATGTGAGTAAAGTTTGGGCTACGCAGAGCAGTTGCCTTTAGGGCTTATCTCACTCCCTCAAGAGGTCGGACTGGATCAACAGAGAATCGACAGAATGGAAATGCTGGCCCAGTAATAAGGAGAACTGGGGTTCAGGGCTTTCCAAGGGTAGGAAGGACTGCCTCTGTAGTTATGGAATCCCCCACCAGGGAGTCGGTGCTGTTTTATTTCCTTTGCGGGGGGAGTGGGGGTTGGGGTTGGGGAAGGGGGATTCTGAATCATGTAATATGTTAAAATAGTAACACTAAACTGCCTAGAAAAGAACACAGATGACCTTGATTAGAGAATGATTTTTCATTCTCATTCATAAACTGGTGTTGTTAGGTGCCTGTAAGTCAGTTTCAATGCAAGACAATGTTATGTGTAGCAGAACAAACCACTGCCCACTACTGGACCATCCTCAGAAAGATTGCCATAAACTATCATTAATCATAGTAAAATAATTTCCACAGTATGGGTAGGACATTGTGCAAGGAGCTACAGAGGCCTCAAAGAAGGTAGAGAGTTCCTACTGTGGACGTGACCAAAAACCCAAACCAAACAAACAAAGTCTTGAAAGGTGCAGTGAAAACCCAGAGATAATCTACATCTCATATCGTGGTAGATCCGCACTGATGGCCCCCACATCGATGGCTTCACTACTGTTAGAGAGGCGGGGCTGCGAGCTATGAGTTGGAATGGCTTCTTGGAGAAGGCTAAGAAGAGTCTAGACCTGTAAGCAGGGGGTAGGGATTGAGTGGAAGAGAGAACGGATGGGGAAACATTTAATTCACCAAGACACACTAGGGTACCCTATGTGTTTCTTCTCATTCTGAATACACGTTAAGGACTAACAGACTTGTTTCCTTCTCAGAAGATAGAAGAAAACTCTTCCTGGCAAGAAACTCACTAACCAGCCCTGACTGGGGGAGCGACTGTAAGTTCATGTTGAAGTGACTCTTCTTGGACTCTTCATG